TTCAGCCCATGGGGCCCTCCGGGATGGGTGGCCCCACTCGGTGGACCCCCGGGACCCTTCCGGTGGTCCCGGTACAATACCGGTGACCCCCGAAACTCTCCCGATGGCTGAAACTACACTTCCTATATATAATTCTTCACCTCCGGACCATTCTGGAACTTTTCGTGACGTCCGGGATCTCATCCGGGACTCCAAACAACTTTTGGGTTACTGCATACTCATATCTCTACAACCCTAGCGTCACCGAACCTTAAGTGTGTAGACCCTACGGGTTCGGGAGACACGTAGACATGACCGAGACGGCTCTCCGGTCAATAACCAATAGTGGGATATGGATACCCATGTTGGCTCCCACATGCTCCTCTATGATCTCATCGGATGAACCACGATGTCGAGGACTTAATCAATCCGTATACAATTCCCTTTGTCAATCAGTACGTTAATTGCCCGAGACTCGATCGTCGGTATCCCAATACCTCGTTCAGTCTCATTACCGGCAAGTCTCTTTACTCGTACCGTAATGCATGATCCCGTGATCAACCACTTGATCACATTGAGCTCATTATGATGATGCATTACCGAGTGGGCCCAGAGATACCTCTCCGTCATACGGAGTGACAAATCCCAGTCTCGATTCGTGCCAACCCAACAGACACTTTCAGAGATACCTGTAATGTAGCTTTATAGTCACCCAGTTACGTTGTGACGTTTAGCACACCCAAGGCACTCCTACGGTATCCGGGAGTTGCACAATCTCATTGTCTAAGGAAATGATACTTGACATTCAGAAAAGCTACAGCAAACGAACTACACGGTCTTTGAGCTAAGCTTAGGATTGGGTCTTGTCCATCACATCATTCTCCTAATGATGTGATCCCGTTATCAATGACATCCAATGTCCATAGTCAGGAAACCATGACTATCTTTTGATCAATGAGCTAGTCAACTAGAGGCTCACTAGGGACGTGTTGTGGTCTATGTGTTCACACATGTATTACGATTTCCGGATAACACAATTATAGCATGAACAATAGATAATTATCATGAACAAAGAAATATAATAATAACCATTTTATTATTGCCTCTAGGGCATATTTCCAACACTTGCCACCATTGTCTTCCCTCTTCTCATACGGGCACTCCGCAACAAAATGACTCACATTGCCACAATTGTAGCAAGTCCTTACACGTTGCTTGCTCTTCGTGCCACTAGAGTTGTTTTTGCTAAAGTTTGGCCTCGAGTTTTTCTTGCTCCAAAATTGCCTTGTAGCCAGTGCCATGTGTTCATGATACGCATACTTTGTATCTTCGGGGTTGCTCTCTTCTTCTTCTTCTTCTTCTTCAACGGTGAGCTTGGCCTTCAATGCAAGGTTGGGCTTCTTTGCCCTTTGAGAACGAAGCACCGCATTGTCGACGGTCTTGTCCAAAATGTTCATGGCCACAAACTCATCCAACACTTCGCTTGAGGTCAAAGTGTGGAAGTCCGGTCTTTGACGAATGACGGAGGACATGTCCTTATGGAGGGCATCATTGCCTTGAGGAATTTGCGCTTGATCCAATTGTCATCCGTGTCCTTGCTCCCGTGATCTCGTAGTGAGACCGCGAGTTTGGTTACTCTCCGATAAAGCTCACGAGGTTCTTCATCTTCTTTCATTGCAAACTCATCGGCCTCATCTTGCACCACTTCATAGTTGGAGCGTTGAATACTTGCGCTTCCCTGATAGAGAGAGACAACACAATGCCATGCGTCTTTGGCCAAGGCGAAGGGCCGAAGATGAGGTAGGTCTTCGGGTGGGATTGCATCTTGAATGATGAAGAGAGCATTCTCATTGAATTGATTATCCGCGGCTTCTCGAGGAGTGAAGTTGCTTGGATCATGCGGATAGAAACCTTCTTCAATGATTCTCCAAAGATTAGTGTTCACATGATTTAAATGACATTTAAAGCGGTAAACCCAAGAATCGAAGTCCTCATTTTTCACAATCTTAGGGGGAGGACCGGCATGATTCAAATGAGTGGAAGGAACCGGTCCTCCATAAACAAGTGGTGGTTCCACATGAGCAAAGGTGTCGGTGCCATTTTTACCACTAGAAGAAGGAGACTTTTCACTACTAGCTTCCCCCTTGTCGGAGATAGCATCCGTCACCTTGTCGGTGGGATCACCCACTTTCAACGGTGCGGTGGATAGTTTAAGCCCCTCAAGGAATTTAGTAAACATGGTTTCAACCTCGGTCGTCATGGAGGTTTTCAATGTCTCCAAGGCCACATTGAACTCCTCACGAGAGACCGAGGTTCCCCCATCGCCAGTAGACGAGGTCGGATTCACACCGGAGTGCTCCTCCACACCGTCTACGGTATCAACCATACTCTTTGGACGGTAAAGTCCTTAATAAAGAGACGAGGCTCTCATACCAATTGAAAGGATCGATATGGTTGACTAGAGGGGGGGATGAATAGGCAACTAACAATTTTTAGCTTTTCTTTAACAATTTAAATTTTGAATCAAAGTAGGTTGTCTAGATATGCAACTAGGTGAGCAACCTATATGATGCAACAAGGATAGGAACACAAGCAAGCAAGTGATATGATACAAATAAGCTTGCACAAGTAAAGGCACGAGATAACCAAGAGTGGAGATGGTGGAGACGAGGATGTGTTGCCGAAGTTCCTTCCCTTTGAGAGGAAGTACGTCTCCGTTGGAGCGGTGTGAAGGCACAATGCTCTCCAAGAAGCCACTAGGGCCACCGTATTCTCCTCACGCCCTCACACAATGCGAGATGCCGTGATTCCACTATTGGTGCCCTTGGAGGCGGCGAGCGAACCTTTACAAACAAGGTTGGGGCAATCTCCACAACTCAAGTGGAGGCTTCCAACGACACCACGAAGCTTCACCACAATGGACTATGGCTTTGCGGTGACCTCAACCGTCTAGGATGCTCAAACACCCAAGAGTAACAAGATCCACAAGGGATTAGTGGGGGAAATCAAATTTCTCTTGGTGAAAGCGTGGATCGAGGCCTTCTCAACCACTCCCGAGAAAATCAACAAGTTTGATTGGTTAGGGAGTGAGAACGGGCGAAAATGGAGCTTAGGGTTGGAAGAGATGAGTCAAAGGGGACCCCTTATATAGTGTAGGACAAAGATCCAACCGTTACCCACCTACCATCCCACGGCCAGCGGTACTACCGCTCCAGGCCAGCGGTACTACCGCAGGGCCGCGCGGTACTACCGCTTGCTTCCAAGCGGTACTACCGCACGGTCATGCGGTACTACTGTACAGGCCCGCGGTACTGCCGCAACCCCAGCAACAGCAAGGTCAGATCTGACGCACAGGAGCTGAGGGCGGTACTTCCGCGAGCGCGGTACTACCGCGCCGCCATGCAGTACTACCGCAAGGCAGAAATCCCCTAGCCAGGGGGGAGGAAACATCCGTGCCTACTTCCGCAAAGAAATGGAAGAAGCAAAAACCCGACACAGTAGTACTGCCGAGGGGCGGTACTACTGCCTGACAACATAGCACGGTACTACCGCGGAGCGAAAGCGGTACTACCGCGGTAGGTGCGGATGTAAAAAATTACATCCGCCCCTACTACCGCGAAGGAGCGGTACTAGCCTGGTGGGCAGCGGTACTGCAGCTCCAGGGGAGCGGTACTACCGTGGGCACCTGCGGTACTACCGCGGCACCGCACGGTACTACCGCTGGTGCCTACGGTACTACCGCTCTCCTGGGAGCAGTACTACCGCGACCCAACTCAGCAGCCAGAACCAGGGAGGCGAGAAAGCGGAGGAAGCTCCAATGGAAAAGGAGGGGACAAGAAAGAGACGTGTACGTGATGATTCCACCCAAACCTTTTCGACGCGGACCCCCTCTTAATAGTACGACTTTCCTCCGACTCAAATCCACCAAAAAGAAACATAGAAAAGACATCATCTTCAACAGTCTTTGAGGGGCACCCAACCGTCTTGTGCCTAGTGATGAAATGTCTGGGATACTCAAGGCACATGATTAGTCCGCAAATGCGTTGTCATCAATCTCCAAAACACCTTAGGGATAAATATGCCCTTACAATGTCTGTTGGTTGATTCCTGGGGCCGCTCGTATATTTACTGGTGGCAATCATTGTAAAAGAGCGAGGTGGATTTAGGAAATATGAAAGATGCATAGCTCATTGGTTCTTACATTGAAGAGCCAGACAGGAGGTCCTCTGTTCAATTCCCACAATGTTGATTTATTTTGACCCAATCATTTTTCGCGGTCTTAATAAAATCTCATAGAAGGCCCATCAACATACAAGCACTTGGCCCAGATGGCTTATTTTGTGTAGAGAGAATCGTACGAAAAAAATTAGCGTGCGCTCAAAACAAACGAAATCAACGCACGAAAAGGATTAAACCAAACCAAGAATACCTATTTTGATTATTTATATGACAAAACCACCTAATAGGACTATTGACTTAGTGAGTTTATTTCATGGATTAGGGTTAGTTTCCATATACAGGTATGTATCCTTTTCGAAAAAAAATATTCAGGTATGTATGGCACAACACCATCACTAAATCAAAGGTGTTGTATCACACAACACTATCTGTATCTCGTCGCATCGCACGGCAGCCGAGTATCACGCCTCCTTCAGGCGAACATCCAGAACTTCACCGGACAAACAATACCCTAGAGTGAACTACATACAGAACCAAGACATAATGCAGATACATAAATCAAGATTAAAGCTAATATCTTCAATCCCCAAGGCAAAAGCAATCAACATACCACACACTATACTATTGCTGAGCAGTCCATCTCTTTGGAATAGCGAGCTCTTATAATCCGACCAACAACTAATAGTAAAGATTGGATATAAATAAAAAAAAGTATGGTTTTTTTGTCATGAGAAATAATATAGATGAGAACATCTGATTTACGACATCTAATCTTAGATAGATTTCAAGATTGTCTTTTCAAAAAAAAGATTTCAAGATTGTAATGCAGCCTTTTTTGCATATTAAAGCTGGTACTCCGGAGGGAAGACCCATGTTGCCCCCCCTATGGAACTTTGACGGCTAGAAGTACCGGACTTCATGTTGAACACGTCTCTCGTGTCCATAAAATAAATTGCATCTTCCTCCACCTCTCCACAAGGTGCCGGGACAGACTTGGAGAAGTCCATGCTAACGAAGAGTGCTTGACCGCCGCCTAGCCCTCCGATTAGTGGCACCCAATCGTGTGTGCTAAAGCCCGCTTCAAGAACATCCACCATGAGAGTGACCCACAAAGCATCTGGATGGAATTGCCGGCGATGCCTTACCATGAGTAGCTTCCCATGCGACTCGATGAGGTGCCGGCTAATTACAATGATATTACCAGGTTCGACATCTCTTGCAAATTCTTCTGAGCAATTGATATAGCAGGGCAAATCATTATCTTCTCCCTCTTCCTCCTCTTCATCGTCTTCCTCTTCTTCATTCTGGTCATCATCCACCGCATCAAAAGTGGTCAATAATTCATAACAATCATAGCGGAGTGATTTCTTGATGACACGTGTTCCCATTGCAACCACGGGACTTCCGTCTCCATCCAATGCAAGATCAAGGGGGATGAGGTCCTCAGCCATGGTGATGGCATACAGTTTATCACCAAGAAACGCGATGTCAATGAGGTAGGTATATGGAGCTGCGCATGGCTCTGGTGACCACATACCCTTCCCTCGCTGGAATACACTGAGCGGATGCTTCCTGTTGCTGGTGATGACGGTGATGAAGTCATCGACCGTCGAGCGCATGAGGAATTTGCGGACGAAAGACCTGTCCTGGACGATGACGGCGTCGAGCTCAGGCAGCGGCAGAGACCTGTTTGAAAAAGGATTGTGCAAGACATAGTTGTAGACGACATAGTGCTCTGTTTGCTCCTCGTTGGTGTGCTTCTGGCCGAGGCCGAGAGCAAGCCAGTCATTGGTGGAGTGGAGCCGGCAGTCATGGCGTTCTTGGGGAGCCGGTGCATGTGGCCGCTGTAGGAGGTGACGACGTAGTTATCTCGGAGGGCGACCCATGGCAGCGGGCGCGCTTGGGGGCCATGGTGGAGCACGGCCGAGTTCCTTGGACGGTGGACGGCGCGGCAGCGGGCGCAGTTGGCGGGGTCGGGAAGGTTGGCCACCAGGAGGGAGAGGAACTTGGGCAGGAGTGCGCAGAATTCCAGGATCGACGACAGGAGGCCCATATTGGAGAAGCGTATTTTTCTTCCCTTTTTGATTCGATTCGATCGTACTGGTGATGTGCAAGCATGCAGCCTTGATCGTATATATAGCACCAGAAACGAAACCAGAAAAGAAGCTGGGCTGTCGGAATCCTGTTGCGTGATAGTGTTGGTCACGTGTACGATTACCTAAAAAAAAGCGTATCCGTGTACGATTGTTGGTCCATATTGAAGAAGCGGAGTACTGATGTTGGTTCGGCCTGGCGGCCTGGTTTTTTCTATCCGCTTCTTCTTGGACCTGAAGCCCCCATTAACGTCAGGCTCAAGAAACACGCATGGCCAGGGCCACCGCCCGACGACGATCGAGCCTGGCCTGGCCGGGAAGTAGGTTCCTGAGAAGCAAAACTGGCCGGTGTGTTGCAGCTCCGATGACGACGGCCGCAACCTCAGTGGCGGTGGTCGCTGGCCGTAGCACCCCGTCGATGAGCTCCATCATAGCAAACAAGATAGCCAGTTGAAGCTTTTGCGATTGCCGGTTACAACAAGTTCAGGACTCCATCCGTTGCCACAGATGTAGCAAAAGAAGTTGGTTCCAACTCAGGCTTCTTCGGCTGTACTTTCCAGCTTGTGTCGGTTGCTTCCAGCAAAAGTTTTGCCCGGCTCTGGTGAGGAAGGGGCTCCGCCGCCCTCCGCGGTTGCAGCATCTGTTCTACACGGTTGTAGCACTGACTTTGCTAGTTCCAGCAAATCTTCACTGTCGCAAATCCGCCACTCCTTGTTTCCAGCTCTTTTATTCGTCAGTTCCAGCCTTGGACATGATCAGGAACCACCACAATTTAAGTCTACAATACAACAATTGATATTAATCAAGGATAAAAACAAAAACAACTAATAGACTCAAATGTGAAGGCAACATGGAACTAGTGATACGACAACATGCAGAAAACACTACAATTAATATTGTTGTAAGTTCGTATCAGTGCTGCAAAATCAGCACTGCACAATGAAGCACATAACAATTGGTACCAAGCAAGCCCTCACAGAATAAACAAAGTTGAGTTATCCATACAACCATCTAGCAATAGACCATCGGACACTAGTGCAGAACCGGGCAATAGCACCGGTTCGTAAGGGCCTTTAGTGCCGGTTCGATAACCGACACTAAATTGTGGGCACTAAAGGCCCCCCCTTTAGTACCGGTTCAGCATGAACCGGTGCTAAAGGGCAACCACGTGGCACGAGCCAGCTCCGTGGGCGCATAGGACATTAGTACCGGTTGGTAACACCAACCGGTACTAAATGTTTGGGTGTGTTTTGGTTTTATTTTTTATTTTTACTTTAATTTTGTGTTTTCAATTTAATTTAGTGATTATTTTACATTATAATGAATTGTTAAATCATTAGGTGAATGTACCGCAGATTAGTTTGACTGGATGGTGGATCCTAGCTAAGTCATCAAGTATATGTCATATCCATATTATATATACTTGATCACCTACTTAGGTGATCGAGGTAATATGGATATGGCATATACTTGATCACTTAGCTAGAATCCATCCAGTTGAAACTAATATGCAGTTTCTTTCATAAATGATATAATAACTCATCATCATCATCATCATATTAATATAAAAACTCTTGCATCATATATATCATCACCAACGGTTTTCATAGCAAAGATATCATCGAGTTCAACATGGTAGTGATATTATAAGCGTTCATAACACCACAAAAGCAAATCACTCTTTGACATTAAGTTCAGGACGAAGAACACAGACATGAGAGGACAAGTACTAAGAGCATGAACTAGCTAATTAATCACTCCTGCTGCTCTCTCTCAGGTAAAATAGCATAGAACATGTATAGCTTTGTTGATTCATCATATTGGAGCATGCAGATGAACCCGTCTCCTAATCGTGGGTTGCGCTTCTGATTGCTACCCCCAAGTACTTCTCTGTGATTGTTCACAATTTTGCTCCAGTCTTTTACTATTAAGCATTCCTCGCTATTAAAAGTCCTGAATGCACTAAAGTGCATTGTAGGATATCTTGGCCGTAAGCTAACAATATTCATGGTACCTTTAGTCTCGATCCAATCAGGCACAACATTCATCGGGAGTCCCTATTGAAGAACATCGTATAGTAACATACTTAGCAATGAAGTTTAGCTTAAAAAAATAATGTATGCAAAAGATGCACTGAGGAGAAATAGTAGAAATCTTACCATCTTTCCTAAATATATGTGACCGTAGTTCAGTACGAACACTATTCGTCGAATGTTTTGAGTACTAACATTTCTAAGTGCAGGAAAGAAATTTGTCTTGACAGCATCAAGATCCTCAAGCCATGAAACATAATGACTTGTCTCCTCGCAGTTTAGTTCAGCCTCGGGACAATGGACGGTCCTGTCTACCAAGCGCCGGACATGTTTGCTTGATTGGAAGTAAGCTATCAATATAAATTGAGATCTATTAATTATTCAACTGGTTCAAATAATCTCATATCGAAGACATAAATATGGTTGAGAAACTCACATAATGGTAGAACTGGAGGCGCCTGCACATCGACCCAGATGTCTCTATTACCTTCAATATCATCTTCCGGACGAATATCAAAGGTGATAACCATATCAGGCTCAAATGCATAAGCCTTGCATAGTGCTTGCCAACTTTTGCATTCAAAATAGGTGTATGTGTCTGCATTGTATAATTTGACGTTGAAGGTATAACCATGCTCGGTCTTCAAGTAAACTCTTTTTACCTCCATAGTTTCGTTAGGACTGAAACATATCTTATCCAAGACAAAAATTCTTGCATGGCATGGGATATGCTAGTAGAATAGTGAAAAATTAAAATTAAAAGCTGAAGCAATGAAGCATAAGTCAGAGAGCGGCGTTACTGAGAGCGGCGGCAGCTGAACACTTTATCATGTTCGTTGGTCCACGTCTAGAGATATGCGCTAGTGGGGCCATGTCAGAGAATACGGTCGTGGTAAAACGAAATCGGATGCAGGAATACGGTCGTGAACAGTTCTGTACGACAGTTGGCTAGCACATTGAAGGAGCGTGCCGTGACGGCGATCAGCCGGTCCGTGGCTCAGCTCCGTTGTGAGAATGTGGTCCTCCGAACAGACACGCACGGCGCCGTCTGATGGAAAAAGTCGCCGTCACCACCGCAGTAAATGTTGTGTGCGTTGGGCAGGTGCGGGGCAGCCCGGAGATATGACGGTCTTCTCCCAAAAATGAGCAATTCCCCTCCACGCCGCCCACCACCGCCCCCCCTCCCCCGCCCCCAGCCATTCTCCCAAACCCTACCAAGTGAAGACGACGCAAGTTCAAGAAATGGCAGAGGAGGGAAGTGCGACTATGTGTACGGAAGAATTGCAGAACGGGCTTGAATTTCTGCTAGATCCAGTCGACAGGTACGACGTATATCTGACCACTCTGTTCTTCTGGTCGCATAGATGAACAACCAACGGAAAAATGCTAACTGCTTCTCATTTTCCCCCCTGGAGCCATAGATTTCCGCTCAATGAGGTCACCGCCGACGTTGAGCGGCCAGATCCACTGGTGCTGGTGGACGTCCGGCGGTCGGCGCCTGCAACTGCCGACTCATCTTCCGCAAGTGTATTTGGTCATATCGGCGCTTCATAACACCATGTCAGATCCCCTTGCAAGAGGTCGCTCTCACCAACAAGTCGGTGAGTCCACTGGGAAGGTTAACCCAGAGGCACCAGGGTCGACGAGGAGGTACATAACCGAATCATGGATTTTTTTTTTTACAAAATGGGTACAATTTCAGTAGAGTAGTAGATAATCTTCTGCAAAAAAAATTAGTGAGCCTCCCTCAAATTTATTTTATGACTAGTGTTAAACTCTTGAGATAATATATAACATTCACAAACTAAAATGTGAGCCTCCCTCGAATTTCAGGCTTCGAATTGGGCGCGCTCCCCCTGATAGAGTTCCATGTGCTGGTAGAGTAACTCCATTGGAAGAAACCATAAGGAGATATGCCGACAAACCTACAGAAGGTGTAGTAAAACCGCAGATTGGGATGATTTTTTATTCCCTTGGGGAAGCTTATGATTTCTATAATCTATATTCATGGGAGCTTGGATTTGGTATACGATATGGCAAGAGTCGTCTCAATGTTGAGAGGACTAAATGTATGCAAGAGATTGTTTGTGGATGCTCGGTCAGCAACAAAGAACTCACTTATTTTTATATACTTTTGCGAATTGTCGTGACTTCTGCAATTTCATATCCTACTGTCTGACATGTGCAAGAAAATGTTTGTAGGGGAAACCTGAGCAGCAGAATAGCAGATCTTGCCGTTGCGAGTGCCCTGCGATGGTGAGGTTACTAAGAGCTGCAGACAATGGATGGTACATTGCTGAGCACCGGGCGAGCCACAATCATTCGCTATCTCTTACATGCAGGGAAAAGGTTCACTGGCCATCCCACAAACACATAGATGTGTACACCAAGGATCTCGTGAAACAGCTT